AGACACACAGACAAGGATGATTATCGGATGTTATTCCACAGGGAAGATGTCACCTTGCAAATAGCAATGCTGGATGAAGTGCTCTGCATCATTCTGAGAATAAGGAGTTTGCTTTACTCCCCCTATTGCATGCTCCCTTAAATGAAGGGAGCGACAAAGAATTGCTACATGCAATGAGTATCACTGCTGCCAGCGTATCCAGAACTACTCTTACTACTTTCAGGCCCACTGCATTTTTTATTAATGTAGTCAGAGATAGATTCTGCAACATTACCATCTTCCAACACTGTAATTAATTTTACTCTGCTCACTCCCAATTTCAGCTTGGGAAATACTGGGAAGAGATACCTGCATAGAGCTTCGTGAAGGTCACTAATGGCAAGATCTGACTTCGAGACTGAAGATTGACTGGAGAGATTGTCTGAAAGAGCAGACAGATCTTTGTTTTCATGACTTCAAATGAGAAATTCTTGAAGTTCCTTACAATTTGGTGCGCAGGACATTGGCAGTGAATGCCATTATATCTCCCAGAAGTGTTTTAGGTGGCCATGGTGATGATGAGTTGATGATTGGACTTGATGACATTGGAGGTTTTTTCAATCTTACCATTCTGTAATTCTATCTTTTCAAAGCAAATACAAGAGACATAAAACTATAGGTTTCAGTCCAGTGCTGAAGTGAAAGTGGTTATTACAAGAAATAATTAGAACTAAATATCTTGACATCTGAAGATGGTATTTTAAATACAAAAGTTTTCTGAAATCAGAAAACATCTTCTATTTATTCCTCTGACGCAGGACTTCTGAAAATCAGTCTAGGAACAAATCCACACTCACATTTCTTTTTAAATAATAGTAAAAAGAACTCCATATCACATGAGTCCACTGCTCTTTGAAGTTAGTTTCCAAGTAGGATCTTACATACAGGCAAAATTTTTTTTTTGTTTTGTTTTGTTTGTAGAAAAATGGCAATTCAGAAAGCATTTAAGAGCAAGGATATTAAGAGTTCTGGACCATCTTCCTTCCTGAGTTCTAGAAAGCTACTAATCCATTCTTTATTACGTGGATACCAGAGAAGAAAACCAAGGTAGGAAATGGTAAGATGCGCATGCTACACTGCCTCTTATTCATTTGACATATCTCCATCTCACTTTTTAGCAATCAGCATGTTCTACAGCTGAGGAGTCTGCCTTATTCATTTAGAAAAGCACTTAATATGCCTTGATATGATACCTGTAATTAGATAAAGCGGCAGCAACACGTGTCACCTGGGTTCTATTTGGGTTCTAATTCTGATTTGCCCATGGCAATAAAATTTTTCATTTTTAGGACTTAACGCCATCAAAGAATTCTTGATCCAGTTATTCATTTTCTTGTTGGATCCATAGAAGTCATTCTAAAAGCAGGAGTGGAATAAGGGAACCAGCATTTCCACGTAGCCACATTAAAACATCTGAAACATAAATAAAGTATGACTATAGAAACTTTGCTTGAGCAAAGTAACTTCCATAGCACACAGAACCCAGGAAGAGCCAGCAGGGCGTTTTCTACCCAGGAGGAAAAGAAAGTAAACTGTACCTAAAATGTGAATGGACAACAGACTTGCACGCCAGATCTAGGTGGCCAGTCAAGGTTAGGAGGGTGAGGTGAGGCAAATTATAGACCCACTGCACCGGAAGCTCATTTGATCAGAAAAATCATTTGATGCAGATATCTACATCTATGGCTGCTGGGGTTGTTTTTCACATGGCTGTTTCTCTCTCTTTTTTTTTTTTTTTTTCTCTCTGAATATATCACACAAGCAGCATTTTCATTGCACCAGGTTGGGGAAATTCTCTCTTCTGCTCTCAGCCAGCTACTCAGAAATCTTTTGAGTTTTCTATGTATTTCAATGCAGTTTCTGCTCCTATTGCTAGCACTTTGAGTGGTTCTGCATACTACTTAATTAGAAGACTATGTATTTCAAACTTTTGGCAATGGCAGAATTTAGTTGCATTTTAGCCCAGAAATGAGGACACTGAAATTAGAGTGATTGTCTGAATAATAATTTTTTTTTTGTTTGCTCCACTTAATATTCAAAATCAAAGTGAAGTGGCCTCTAAAAGACAATCTAATATTTATAGCGTGTATGATTATAAAGCACTTCTGATCAAAATTATGTTGCAGATGTTCATGTGGGTGCTCAGCAATGCTGAAAAAGTCCAAAAGGAAGCAGCAAAATTGAAGATGAACTGGAAACTGACCAGAAGATCCTTTATATGTAAAAACCTTTTATGCAGCTCCGGTTTTGTCAGAATGTGCTGACTCTAATTTCAGTTCTCCAAATGTGAATACTGAACTAAAGTACCCCAAAGAGAACAGTTACTTTTTTATACAAAATAGAAAGAAAAACCAGAAAGGCTAAAACAACAACCAGTGAAGTAGGGCACAGCTCCATATCAATCAAAGATCAAAGGAAAGCTTAATCAAGATCTAATCATGCAGCATTGTTGAAGGAATGTCCAGTTGCACCTGGATAACATTCTGGGATAGATTTGTTCTGCTTCATTCAGAAATTATGCTTTTTGGGCCTTTTTGATAGTGTGAAGTGAACTCAGTCTAGAAAGGTAATCCTGGCAGGAAGGTATCATGCCAGGAGCACCAGGAGAACTAAGAGGACCATGTCAGATGGCTGAGGGTGGTGATAGGTTGAGGGACAGGAAACTTATCTCCCCTTATTGCTCAAGCACAGGTTTCCTTGGTCTCAAAGCCGGTGCCAAATTTCAATGCATAATTAAGTGCTTCTGAAGTGCTCCTTAGAAGAATTCCTTGTTTTTTATAAAGCAGGAGTAAAAGTCCCTTCAAAACTCTTTCCTGTTTTCCTCCTGTTCTCTTTCATTCCCACCTAAAGTAGCTGATATGTATATTTTGCATTTAATTAAATCAGTATGGGATAATACAACAAAATCAGTTCTGTAAGACCACAGCAAACACTGTACAAAAGTTAACTTCACAAACATATTGCCCTTCAACTCTGTGTTAATAACATCTAGAAGACCAACACTGACAATGTGTCAAATTAAGGCTAATTTTGCTAATAAGGTATCTGACCGTCTTGTTCCATCTACAGTTCTGTTCCTCCTTGATCTTTCCCTTTCCTCATCCTGTCAGATCACACTGATACAACATCAACTCTGGGGAACACCACCTTATTCCAAAGAAAACGAGTCAGTCCTGACATGCAGCCAGCTGGGACAGCAGTGATGGGGAAAGTGTTGGAATTCAGCAGTAAATGCTGCTGCTTTGGGGTTGCATTTTTTTCTAAGTGCCTAAAACTAGTTGAGCTATTCTTTCTCTTTCCAAGGCAAGATATCAGGGAGCAATGGCCTGCAGATGATGCTCCATGGAGAGAAAGGGAAATTACATTTGTACTTTGAAACAGTGATTAAGCAATCTTGGGAAGCTTTACGTTTTTCTCCTGCAGAAAAACACATACAGAAAACAAGAGAAAAGAACCCAGTTACTTCAGAAACGATGCATTTCCAGGATATCAGATGTACTGCAGTGAGGTAGAACATATGAAATGAAAGTAAACTCTTGAAAAATTCCAGATTTAAAAAAAAAAAAATGTAATTCCATTTACTCAGGCTTCATATGGAGAAAATATTGATTTAAATATTGGCACAAGTAAGCAGAATTGGAACAGGCCACATGAATAACCTGTGTGCTGTTCTGCAGTCAAGATTTTATAGATAAAAATTTTCTTTTTTAGAAAATTAGGCGAGGCAATCGCTTGTCAAGATAAATGGGCAAATGGGAAGCAGAAAGCTCTAATGCTCAGTGTGATGACTATTCTGGGTTTAACAGAGGCAATCATTCTGACTGAGCACCTCCTCACTCTGGAGTACAGATAATTCCTAGGCAGAATCTCTATGGTACACAGTTTAAACCTTCTCTCCCAGACTACATTCAAATTCTGCAACTCTAGCAAAATTTAATACAGAGTCTGTATAAAAGAATGAACTTCAAACTTCAGAAAACTTCAACAGAAACCTCAGTGAAAGAAACAAATATGCATTTTTCATATTCTGAGGATTTCCTGCTGAGCTGTTGTTGTTCTTTTTTTTTTTTTTTTTTTTTTAATTGCTTTGCAACTTCTGCAGACACTTACATTAATGCAAAATCACTGTGATAATGAACAATTAGTTGACTGATTCCAAAAGAGGCAGAATGGGACATAAATGATGTCAGAACAGCAAGCATGAAGCCTGAAACTGGAAGGAATTAAGAAATCTGATTCCAAATGTGATCTTCTGTGCTCATAAATCCTCCTTTCTCCTAACTTCTGAGACTACATTACCATTACGTGTGCTCTTAATTACTACCTAACCAATGGAAATGAGGACATTTTAATCCTGCTGAAGATTGCTTAAGTCTGAAATATACTTTTAAAGCAAATGATACTCATCAGATTGTGAAAACATACTGAAGAAATGCCTTAAGTGGCATTTCCCCCCCCCCATTATTATTGAATTGCTTTCTAAAACATCCAAGAAACTGTGTAAGAATCTAAATTGTAACATATGAAAAGCTCATTTGTTCACCTGTCCTGAGGACTACTTGTTTGGTTGTGGTACACGCAAACGTCATATGTCATATACATATATAATCATAAACAATAGCACAAAAATCAGTTTGAAAACACTATGGGATAAGAAAAAAATATGAAATATACAGATGTTCTGATGATTTATAGCCAAAGCAAATATTTGTTTCTTTGCTTTTAAAGTATGACTGATTTCTGACACAATTAAAAAAAAAACCAACCTGTCTATACAAGTTACACTAGTTCATTATAACCTAAAGCAGACAATATTAAAAGTAAAACAAAACAAAAAAAACAACAAAACCAAAAACTATTAGTAAGTATTAACATTGATTGAGCCTGATGTGTAAATGGCTTCACTTCTAGGCTTTTTACATCCAATAGTTTCCAAAAAAAATAAAAAATAAAAATCCTACCCATCTCTTCTTGCTGCACCAGATACTCGCACCCAACTCTTCCTAACAAAAGGTAAAGCGTTACAACTGGTAAAAAAGCGTGTGAGAACTTCTCCATCACTGTATCCAAAGTTGCTTCTGTCAGAAAAAGCAACCTATGCATTACTACATTCAATCTTTTTATGCTTTAAAAAACATCTGAATGTAATTTATGTCTCCACACCGAAGTTGATTACAACCTGCTGCTACATGTGGTGCTTGACTCAACCATCTTCTCTACTTACTAAGGGAACCACTTTCAGCTGTGACCCTGAAGTGGGTCATACAAATGGGAATTGTTTAACGGCTTTGTTTTGAACACACAGTGCTACCAGCCTATGAAGTAGTTAGTTGACTTCCTGGAATTTTGCTAATTTTTTAACTATGTTATGTAAGCCCAGCTGGCTTACTGCTGAAATCAACAAAATTTATTTTCTGCTAAATTTAGAGAGTTATTCAAACCCTTAAGCTGTGTTCCTCTCTTTCTCAAGTATTTTCTCTGTCTTGAGTGTCATGAGTGTAGACCCTGCTGTCTCTACTCATTACAAAGTGTATACTGAAGTTAGAAATATCATGCAATCCTGGGAGTAACATTTCCTGGAATAAAGGTGTGATATGCACAAGCAATGTGTAATAACTGACACCACTGCTTGAGTGGGTGAAGTTTATAACATAACCACCACAATCTGCATACGCTCTTCTGTCATCCTGAACCAGAAGAACCTGCTGTAGAACAAGTTTACTATTCTTACCAGTTATAAGACAAATTCTTTTGGCAAAACTGTATTTCTCAGGTTAGTGTATAATCATTCACCAGTGCACTGCTGTGCCTGAACACGTGATTAACTATTGGGTATCACTGAATTCCACAAAAGAGATTTTCAGGAATAAGCTTCCTTTGTCCAAAACCCACAGGTGAAAGTTGGTCAATCTTGCCATTACACAATAGACTAACCAACTTGTCATGTTTCACCGCTTATTTCATGGTAATAGGAAGTATGAAATAAATATATACACACCAGAAACATTGCTCACTAGGAAATGTAATCTTGTTGGTAGGAAAAAAGCTGTTAAAGTGAAGAGCCAGTCTTCTTAGTTCTGATGTTCTCTGGGCCACAGCATTACATGGCTTGATTTCAAACTAACAGTGGTAGATGCTTTTATTGAGTTTTTCCTGCATTGAGTAAAATTCAGTGTTTAATGCAGTTCTTGATTTGACAACACCAACAAACATTGTTTACCACTTATTTTAAAGCCTCCCAAGCATTTTGCAATCATTAACTAGGTAGCTGTTGTAAAGATCTGATGATGATGGAAGTGAACCACCTATTTTGCAAATAGAAAAATGGTTGTTAGTGTCACAGAAAGAACAAAAATTCACTAACAATGTCCCACTAGGGTTGCACTGTACGGAGAGGTGCAAATCTCTCTGTATAAATGCAGAATCACATAGAGAATGTTAGGTTTACCTTCACAAGCTTGTTAACTTATAATTCCAGATATCGCAGATTCAAGGCTGTGTTTCCAAAAGACACTAGATTTCAAAGATGAACAGAATGCAGAAAATGTGGATTCAAGGGTATATTGCTTATACATGTATATTTTTCAGTTTGCACAGGTCTTAGTTTTTCAGACCAGTTCTCTTTTTAAAGAAAGATCTATACATTACTTTGATCCAATCATATGCAGGCAACGGCACTAAATTATTTCAGTGTAATTTGTTAGTAACAAACAAGTGTTTTAGTTCAAACATGTTACCATCTGATTTGCTGCTGTTAGGGAAGAATCCGAGAGATTCTTCTCTGACACAGATTTATTAAAATCTTTCCTTTTTTTTTTCTAAATTGAACTATCAGGAGCCCTTCCTAAACTACAGAAAGAGTTTCCTGAGCTGTACTGTGTCAAGACCAATAAAATAATGGTAAGAATCTTTCCTTGTATACAGAGAATTAGAATTAAATATGTCTACATTTATTTGTAGCTAACAGTCCAGATTTATTTTTGTTGTGCAAGATTGTAGATGTCAACAGAAGAACAGGCACAAAGGGAGTACATAACTGATATGGCACATTGAAGACAAGCAGAAGTCCCTAAGAAAAAGCTTCCAGATAACTGCACTGAAAATATTTCCACTCGGTCTATATCAGACAGCAAGTGAGGTATAAACCGAGCAAAGACAACTTCCAAAGCAGCAGTGTATTTGTTTTACAACCTGCCCACCCTGCCTGTTCTCTTTGTTAGAACGCTTTTCTGTACACATGAAGACTCCTCCTGAAGGCAGTTACGTTTATGAACTGTTTGCTCTCTTCTCGCCTCGCAGCCAGGAGTGGCACAGCCATCATTCATTCCAAGGGAAAGAGAACCAGGTGAAGAAAAACGACTCTCCCTAAATGCACTCATAAATTCACATGGAAAAATAACTGCGTGGTGCTACCCAAAACCTTCTGTTTTATTAATATCAGGATGACAGCATTTCCATCCAATAAATCTCTTTAGCTTCACCTACCGGTCAAAATGGAAGATGCACCATTTTGGCCATTTCTTCTGGTCTTGTTATTACAGTTCCTGCAAAATATTAAATCATGTAATCTGGCTCACTGAACATCCTGCTGGCAGAAACACACTCTCGGAGAACAAGTAAGTAACGTGGGAGGCTGAGCACTAATACTTCTCCCCACGCTCCAGTACAGCTCTAATGACCCTGAAGAGGGCAGCAGGATAAACAAGTGAACAAAACCTGAATGAAAACTAAAACAGAGGGGTTTATAGTTAAATAACTAACCGTGTTGAAGCACTGGAGCAGAATTCAGATTTCAATAATACGTAGGTCGCTCTGAAAGTAATACCTCCTATTTATTTCCATGGAAACTACAGCAGATACAAGAGAGCAATAACACGGTTTGATAGTGGAGATTCTCAGCTACAAAATGACATTTTTCAATGTAGTTGCCACCATCAGCTATACATTTTAACCAGCAATGTACAAGACCCTGCATACTGCACCAATGGAGGTGAGCAACTTGTTTCACAGCTGCTGTGATGAAGTCATCACTAGGAAAACGATGCCCATGCACTCCATCTCTCATCAGCTTGGACAGATGGAAATCAGAAAGTACCGAGTGTGGACTACATGATGAGTGTGATAGGACAGTCCAGCCAGGACTGGTAATGTGCTCCATGATCTTCAAACTGGCATGGAGCCTGGTGTTACCATGCTGCAAGAGAAAGATTGTCTTCTTCTCTGTCCTGACTCCGGAAGTTTGAGCCTTCAGCTTAGTCAGTGTTGCAAGGCATCACAGTTGTTGGTTTCTACAGGTTCCAGAAAATCCAGAAGTATCACCCCTTTCCAATCCTGTCTTTTAGACAGTGCACATCACTTTATCTGCTGAGAGTTGCACTCTGAACTTTTTCTTTGATGGGGAATTCACCACTCCATGGACTGTAATTTTACTTCAACTCACAGTGGAGACAGCACATCTTGTCACTGGTAATTATATAGTCCAGGAAACTGTCATGTTCAGCCTCATATTGGTTCAAAAGGTCCTGATAAAAACTTGCATACAGTGCTCTTTCTGTTCCTGTTTGAGCTTTCATACAATCGATCTAGAGCAAACCTTGTGATATTCCAGCATTGTCACCATTGTTTCCAGTGCACTGAAACCTTGATGTTCACCTCTGTACACATTTCCTCAGTCATAATCTGCTGATTCACGTGGATTAGCTGTTTTAGGCACTCTTCATTTTGTGGTGTGATAGCTGTGACCATCTGGAACATAACTTGTCGTTCACATCACTCATTGCTACTGTAAAATGTATAACAATGGCTTTCCAAAAAATGAGTGTAGATGCAACCGTGATTTTGTATCTCTTAACAAGGCGTGCTGCTGGACTTCCAGTACTTGTCATTGTTAAAGCAAAGTGAGCCAAACTGCACTGTAACAGGGGCAGGGGCAAGTGCTAGAGATGGGCCTCTTCATAAAAAACCTAGGAATGAACAAGAACAGCAATGCATCTCAGGTTTGCAAGATGATGATGTAGACACTGTGTTTCTTTTAGCCTGGATGCAAAGGCAATCATGGACAGGTATGATTCTGTCATTGCCCTTTTCCTGCCCAGCAAAAATATTCCAAACAGTTATATCCAAATTCAAAGACATCAACACTTCACCATTTTTGCAAAAACAATCACCCAGACTGAGGAGAGCCCCAGGGAAGCCTCCCCTGAACAAAAGGATGCAATACAAGTGCAGTCATGTTACTACAGAATGAGGAGACTCACTCTTCCCCAAGCCAGGCTGTAGAAGCTGCACTGCTACAGCAAAGACTTGTTTATTCTTACAAAGCCTTCAGAGCATAAACACTGTGAGGGTATTATCCAGGTTACTGAAACGTAGTGTCATTAGCAGGAACATCACAGCTTTATTTTTTTTTTTTACCACAGATCTTTAAGTGGGAGGCTTATTATGGAGCTGTTTTCAAAAGCTGAGAACAAGTTTGCAACTCTCCAGTGTGCTCCATAGGCTTTGTTCCGCTTTGCTTTTTTTTCCAGCAGTAAGTGACACATTCTCCTAAACAGAGACACTTTTTTTTTACTAATTAGAGGAGGTTTCAGGAAAGAGGATGGAAATGGCACCTAAACAAATGGAGTTTAAAATTTTCTGCAAGATTAATGCAAAACCTACTCTATGCAACTTAACATTTTTAGTCATTCCCACATGTATAACTTAAGTGGAGAATAAAATTAAAGTAATATGCTTAGTGCATGGCTACAAGCCGAAAAAAGCACAAAGCAGATGACTGGATTCTCAAGTGTTTGTTTAATTACAGTTAAACATAGGAGAATATGCCTAATTCCAGCCTTCAATGTCTGCTCCTGGACATAGCCACTTCAGAGCTCTTCTGATAAATGCTCTGAGCATCAAAGCAAAGCATCTACTTCAAAGCAGTAGAAAGTAACTGTATTTTTTCTCCAAGAGAGTGGTGGGACATAGGAGCAGGTTGTCCAAGGAAATGGTGGAGGCACCATCCCTGTAGATGTTCCAGAAACATGGAGATGTGGCACTGGGGGACATGGTTAGTGGGCAGTATTGGT